TAGAGTTGTTTTGGTAGTCATGAATTTCTTTAGTTGTTCTTTGTTATAGAGGTATTTTACTTCTCCATTAATTTTGAAAGATAGTTTTGTAGGGTACATCAATCTGGGCTTGAAGTTTTCTTCTTTCAGCATTTGAAATATTTCACTCCAAGCACTTCTTGAGTTGATGGTTTGTGTTGAGAAGTTTTCTGATTCTGTGGACTTTCCTTTATGTATGACCTGTTTTTTCACTCTAACAACTTTTAATATGTTGCTCTTCTCCTGAATTTCTGAGATCTAGTTTAGTACATGTATGGGTATAGATTTATTTTGGTTTATACTAACTGGAGCTCTATATGCCTCAATTATCTGTATGTCAGCTTCTTTCCCCATACTTGAGAATTTTTCTCTTATTACTTCTGCAAATAGTCTTTTTATGTCATTTGCATTAACTTGTTTTTCATTGACACTTATTAGTCTTGTGTTGTTCATATTTGCACTATCTTACCAGGGAGATGGCTCAGTAGAATAAGTGCTTCCCTGGCAAGTGCAAGGACCTGAGTTCAATCCCCAGTTCCAAAAAAAAAAAATCCATATTTGCACTATCTTGTAGCTGTTGGATAATTATTTCCTGATTCCTTGTTATTTTTAAGAGCTCTTTCCTTTCTTGGTCCCTAGCTGCAACAATGTCTTCAAGATCTGAAAGTCTATCTTCAGTTGCAGTCAAATGGTTTTGCCATCATTTAATGGAATTTTTAATTTCCTGTATATCCCTTTGAATCTGTTTCATGCATTCTATTTCTTTCCTATATTGTTCATTCACAGTTTCATTCATTTTTCTGTGTTCCTCTATTTTTTTTTAAATCAATGTTTTCTTTAGATATGCTCAGCAGTTCTTCTGATATGGTTATCATTTCTTTTCTTTCTTTCTTTTTTTTTTTTTCCGTGAGACATGCTTTCTGATCTGATTTCCTCTGTTCCCATCTGGGGTTTTCTTTACTTTAGTTCAATCCACTCAGAGATTTCAGGTATGTGACTTTCACTTTCTTCTCTGCCCTTGTCTCCTGGACTGTTCTGGGTTGGCTGGCAGTGAAAGATTGCATTTTTCTCCTTTGTCTTTCCATTTTTGAGTTCAGAATTTTTTTTTTTACTTCTGGAATAATCCTTTTATATAGGTAGCTATATCACTACTATCAAGGCTACTCTAGGAAGAGTCTGTTCTTCAGGGATGTCTTCTCTGTGTTGGAGATTCTTGGCTTACGTCTGTCCTGAGATCCTGCCTTCCCAATTAATTGAGAGTGGATGTTGGTTTCCACTTGGCACTGTCCTCATTCTTTAAGTGTAGGGCTTTGGTGACCATTTTACCTGATTGCTTCCCAATATTGTTATCCAAGGGAGAACAAGTGGCTAAAACAGATATAATATTCTGCCTACAGTAGTACAGTTAGAAATAATAAGAACATCAAGCAAAATTTAGAAACTGACAAACTTTGGTAACTATTGGTTTTATAATTTAAACTATAGGAGCAAAATCTATAGTTATATAAAAGAACAATCTGTAAATTAGGAGTTTTGTTTTTTCTTTCTTTCTTTCTTTCTTTCTTTCTTTTTTGTATTTTAGGGAAGTGTCTACAGGGTGTTCAGGGTCTCATTACTAGATTAGGCTCGTAGTAATTCGCTTGTTTACAGCCCCCCAAGAGCTGGGATTACAGGTGCACACCACCACACCTAGTCTCAATTGTCATCTCAGCATGCCCTGGGGCAGGGCCAGCATGGCAGGCCCAGGGATTGAACCCCCAGCCCCTGTGCCTGCTTGCAGGCACGTTAATTGGCTGAGCTATTTGGCCGACCCCTTAAAATTAGGAGTTTGAATGCAAAGTGTTTCCCCTTGGTAGAGTGGATTTACCCTGTGTTCCCCTGGCCAGGCCAATTGCCAGGTTTCAGATGCTTCAGTTCATGTAGGGTGATGGGCCAGGCACCTGGATTCCTCTGGCCATGCTAGTTTCCCATGGTCCTGAGCATTTCCACTCTAGTTGCTGGTTCCTTGGTTCAGGGGAATGGGTTGGATTCTTGGATTACTCTTGTCAAACTAGTTACCCAGAGTTCCAAGCACCTCCATGCCAGTCCCCACAGTTCATGAGAATGGGCTGGCTAGCTCATTCTTTCTTCTTATTGTTTTGAATTTTAAATGAGATGATATAAGATGGTGCCAATCTGCAGTAAGTTGTCTAATCTATAATAAATGTTTAAAATTTGAGTCTTCTTATCAGTAAGAAGAAAGTAATCAAATGTTGTCAAGTGCCTTAAAACAAGGGCAGGCAAACTTTTCTGTGAAAATTTTAACTAATGAGGACCATATCATGTCTATATCAACTATTCAGCTCTGCCATATAGTATGAATACAGACATAGACAATATGGCTATGGCAGTGTTCCCACATAAATTTACCAAAACCAGTGGCAAGTGTGTTGGGCTCTCAGGGTATAGTTTGTTAACTCCTGAACTAGAGAAATATATTTAAAGTAGGTTTTCAGTTGTAATATTTTTAGTCAAGTAAAATAAGAAGTGATCCTTTTTTCCTATGTTTGGGGCCTTAGAAGTCCCCCTTCCCAACTATTGGGAACAAATCCAGGGTCTTGCTCATCTAGACAAATACTTTACCATTGAACTAAGCCCTCAATCTCCTTCCTGCTACTATTTATAAAATTTTAAGACACAAATATTGCTAAATTTCTCAGGCTGCTCCTCAAATTTGTTATCCTCCTGGCTCAGACTCTGAGAAGCTTCTTGCTGAAGTTAGAAGTGGGGGCCACCATACTCAACAAGAGGTCAATTTTTATAAGCTTTATAAGAGCAGTTGCTGGGGGATAGTGCATATATAAATCTGATATAGACCTAGACAGATGAATGAGAGGCAAGAGTGTGAGCACTGGAATAGTATGCCCTTCTGTGAAGAAGGTCAAGTTTGAATGGAAGGAGATTGTCTTAGCAAGATGAATATTTCATTTCAGAGGCATGTATTTATATTTTGCTTCTTAATGTTTTTTAATTTTTAATTTTAAGTCAAGTGTACTTGACTTTCTTCATATACCACAGGGAAGAAATCAATACAGAAAGAGTAAATAAAATAACTTCTATTTGTTAAAAAAAATCAGAAGCAAGAATAAAGAGGAAATAATTCATGAGATGATGTGGGCCCTTGCCCTGTTAGCAGTAGGGCACCTTAGATATTGGAATAATATATAGAGAAAGACAGTGGTAGGGCTACAAAATAGGGGAACTGTTACCTTCAAGATGTTATCTGTCAATATGGGAACTGACTGTATGAAATCTTTTAACACTGCTACCCCTGTAAAGGAGCTCTAACCGTAGAAATGGTTAAGCTTTTCTATATATTGCATTGTCTTCCTAGGAAGTTTCCCCATTACCATAAGAATTCTAAATATAACTGGTGGTATGCCATGTTCATCTTAACTGTCCTACGTGACAGGATTAAGAGACGCTTGGAGAGGTGATTGGGTCATAAGGGTGTGAGTCCACGATCTTCCTGCTGAGTGTCCTGTCAGGATGTGTGTCCCTGGGGGTAGCCTTTGGCGGGTATGTGTCTGTCTAGCACTTTTCCCCAGTAGTGTTTCTTGGTTGCCATGAAGTGAGCAGGTTGGCTCCCCCAACACCCGTCTGCCATGACATTCCAGCTTTGGCTCATAGTGGATAGAATAATAATGCTTGTAATAGATGAAGGAGTAGATTTTACATACTTACCATTTTAAGAGGCAAAGACCTTCTTTTGGGGTAAGTTTAAGTTTCACTATCTTAAAAATAAGCAAAAACACCAATCCTAGGATACCTAGAAATATGGGTAAGTTATCTACCCAGAATAATATTTGGGATATCGCCCATATAGGGATGAAATTTCTCTTCAAATCTTGGGCATATCTGAATCTTCTCCCTTATCCTTCAAATGTGCATATTCACCCCCCTTTTTTCTTCTTTCTTTTTTTTGGTAGATAATTATAGATTTGCTCAAATGGGGTGGGGGAGGTAATCGTACAAGTTTCGTTATCTCCAAGATATGACTGACAGCACTGAAATCTAGTCATAAATTCCTTATTTCCTTTGGGATAACTCAGTGGCTCAATGCTTTTGATGGATGCCTTTCACAAGCATGAAATAAATAGCAAGCCAACCCAGTGTTGCAAAGTATTTCCTCAAGAAACTTTATAAGATTTATACATTCTAATCTTGGCAGTATGTAAATGGACCCTTTTAGAAAAGGTTATCACAGATCTTAAAATATTTGAGGAGATATTTTATATCTCCTCATAAGTGGCTATATACATGTACAGGTACCTATTGTGGAGCTAGCACTCCAAATTGGGTTGCAAAAGGGGAAAACAATGTTTTTTATTAATTCTGTTAATCTTATCATTAAATAAATATAAATTGCTTGAAGAGTAAAAACTGTGGCACAGAAGATCTCTGTAAACTACATGTGATCCAGACGATCACATGCAACACTTACTGTCAATGCAGACAAAGGCTATTCAACATTAGGTGGAGGGGAAATAACGTTTGCTCCTTTTAAACTTTTCTTCCCATATGATATCATTCAGTTCAAAATCTGTGGTACTTGCTTTCCCATATTGCTGGAGGTTATAATAGCCTGGAGTGAGAGTGGTTACGTGAAAGAAGATTAAACCAGTGTCAGGGGTTTAAAAAGACACTAGTGAGAGAAATAGTCTTCAGGAAAGACTTGTACAGCTGGTCTTTGTGTTGTTGCCCTCATCCAGGTATTTTTTTACCCTTTGATTTGTTATCTGACCCCCTGAACATCATGAAGTCAAAACACAAATTCCACAGTCACACAGTTTATCAGAAAAATGAGCCACACAATAATTTTATTCCAAGTTGATGTCACTAGATTCTAGAGTCTGCTGTCATCACATTCTGTGTTATTGTCAAGTTAATTCCACATGTACCTTAAATATTCAGTCTTCTGGCCTGTTCCACCTACACAGGGCATTTCATGGTTTAAGGATGATGACCTAGAAGGGAAAGGAAGTCTCTTTTTGGATAAAACTCAGTATGGGAAAATGCTTAAGGTAACCCTTTAAAAACAAAACAAAAATATCTGGCATGGTGGTATATGCCAATAATCTCAGTGTTCTGGGAAGCTGAGGCAGGAGGTTCACAAGCTTGAACCCAGCTTAAACAGCTGGGCGACTTAGCAAAATCCTATCTCAAAAGATAAAACTGAAAAAGTATTGGGGATGTAGCTCAGTGTAAAGGCCCTAGGTTTAATCTCCAATACTGCAAAAAATAAAATATTTCATATATTTCATGGTACATGTGCTAAAAATTGCAAATATTCCTAAACCAGTCTTAATGTTTCCTTTAGTTTTCCCACTGAAACTGAGTATTTGATATATTTAGGTGAAACATCCTCCTGAGAGATTCTGTTTCACTCATAATTAATATTTTAAAGTTCAGTTAATCAACAGGATATGTTTTTTGCTTGACTTCTTTAAATACAGTAGTTTAATAGTCCCAAACAGGTGTTGTGACATATATTCTTTGAAACGGAAATTTTGTTTTTCTTTCTGGGGATCCTTTAGTTCTGCAGTTCTTTCTATTGCTTCTCTTTATCTTTCTGCCTTCTCTCCCAAGGCTTTCAATTTATCTCTCTAACTGTTGGTAGTGTGGGTAGGTTCCTATAAAGAGATAATATTCTACATATACATGCATTCTTTGGGGGGCATCTGTGTGTCCATCACCTTCAATTACCCTATTTTCTTACTCCCTTTGTTCCCATATTGATAAGGTAAATACTATTGCTCAGGAGACTTGGCTGGTCTCCACTCCGCTTCATAATTTTCCCCTCATTTGACCCTTTTTTCACCTTAGCTGCTGCAAAAAGGACAAGAACTTCCAGTCAGATTGCTTTGAAGATGAAGTTGCTTCAGACCCCCAGCATCATGGAGTCTCTTCTGTGTCACAGCCGAATATATCTCTTAGTCCTAAACTACCTCATCGTTCTGCATCATATGCAATCAGTTCACCCAAAAGAAGTAGAAAATCATCTTCTCCGTCAAGTCCATCTACCAGCTCACATTTTTCTGGAAGAAGTCAATGTTTATTTTTTAAATTTCAGAAAAGCAAGTCTTTTCTTTGCTGGTGTCAACGTAGTGCAAACTTTGATTCTCAAGAAGACACAAGCACCAGCGATTGCAAATCTTGTTCAGATTATTTTGATGCTCTCAGATCCAGAAGATGCTTTTCTTCCTGTAAACTAAGTATAGTTGCCTGTAATAGGCATGCCACTTTTTTTGAATCTCAGCCAAATAAGCAAGACATATTTAATCTAAATGAAATAGAAATGTTTTCTAAAAGCCCAAACTATATCCCATCCATGAGTGAGCCTACCTCAGGCATCGCTGAAGAGGAAAGCTTTGCTGTCCTGTCTCAAGATGAAGACAAAGCTTCACCTACTGAAATTCCTAAAATAAGGTTATCTCAGACGTTCCTCCTTGTTAAAAGGGCAGCTTAAATAAGACGTTTTCCCACCAAGCACACTCAAGAGTGTGTAGAAATCTCTGTTCCCTTCTCTTGGAAGTCCCCTCTTCTCTCTACACTTCACTGCATTTTTGGAAAAAGATTCCTAGGTTGAAGTTTAAATTTAATTGCTATTAATTTTAAATTAGTTTATTAATATTATTAACATATGAACATTAAAGATGATTTCATCTGTTTCAGGCCTTTTTCAAATTACTGCTTAAAAATGACTAGTCTCAAATTTCAGAATAGAGTATTAATAATACTTTTTTGGTCTGAGAATTGTGACAATCATTGATATCAATGTTGTTTAAATGTAATATTCTTTGATTAAAATGTTTTCTTTTGTCCTACTGTAATCATTAGAGATCCATTCCTAAATAATTTATACAACTGTATTAATCAATTGACACATTTTCATTCATATTAGCCTTGTTAGCTATCTTTTTCATGCTGGACATCCTGTTGATGGATGTTTTATTAAAATAAGAAAAAATTGTGAGTACTGTAATATAAATATATAAAATATTTAGAAACTAGATATTTTAATTAAATAATAGACATTCCCACATGCACAGGTCTGGAGATCCAAACAATGTTGAAATGAAATCAGAATTTTAAAATGTGCATGTCTGTCTCCCAAAATGTATTTTTAAGTTTGAGAATATTTTAGATTTGTTCATTAGGCAGAACTTATACTTGTCAAAATAACCGAGTGAAATATGAACATGAGCAATTAAAAATACTTATTACAATACAGTTAGAGTGTATAGAAGGGAATTTGCATTATTTTGAATTTATTATATCAAAATACTGCCCCAATCTATATCATTAATATAAGATGTTATTTTCACTTTTGTAATTTTCTGTCCTTTGGCATGCATTTTTAAAAGTTTTTGGAGTCTGGGTTTGGTGGCACATTATATCTGTCTGATAAATCTTTACATCTCACAGAACGGAAACTCTGTACTCATTAAGAAGCAACACTCTACTTGTCTGTCCCCCGAGTCCTTGTCAAACATTACTCTTCTTTCTGTGATTTTAACTAAGTGGCTTACTTCACTTAGCATAATGTCCTCGATACATAATTTATTGACATTAATTTCCAGGTAAAATTTTCTATCTCTATAAAAATTATTATAATATTAAAAAAATGTATTGAATCTGTAAATCACCTTGGGTAATGTTCACATCTTAACAGTATTAAATCTTTAAGTCTTTGAACAATGGATCAGTGTACAAATATTTTAACTTTTAAACTGATTTTATTCTTTTCTTGCTATTATAAATGGAATTATTTTTATAACTTTTTTATATAATTGATTTTTGCTTATTGATTTTATGTACTGCAACTTTGCTAAATTTGTTTAGTAATACTTGAAGTTTTGTGTATTTGCAATCTTTTTTCTCTTCATATAATATCTTATTGTCTTGAGAGGTTAATTTTTTCTTTCCAATTTGTATGCCTTTTATTTCTTCATCCTGCCTAACTGCTCTGGTTAGGAATTTGATTTGTTAATATAGTATATTATTTTGTTTGATTTTCATATGTTGAGCAATCCTGCATTCTCAGAATATAACTTCTTTGGTTATAGTATATAATACTTTTAATGTCCTGTTGACTTCTGCTTACTGGTATTTGCAGGAGTTGTTTTGCATACTTATCAGCAATACTGGTCAGTACTTTTCTTCTGTCACAATGTCTTCACCTGACTTGGTGTCATGATAATGGTGAGCTTATACCCACCATTGTTTCCTATTCTTCAGTTATTTTGGAAGACTTCTTCAATTGTTAAGAGGGACTGCTATTATTTTTCCTATAAATGTTTGATATAATTTGATCTAGAAGACGCCTGGTCCTGAGCTTTCCCTTTATAAGTGGTTTGTGACTATTGATTCCATCTCCTTAGCAGTTATAGATTGGTTCATATTTTCTTTTTCTTGCTGATTTAGTACAGGATTTTTAAAATTTGTCCATTTAATCTAGATTCTCTAATTTATTGACATACTACTTATAATTTTAATTACAATAAAACCAGCATTAATATGTCCTCTTTTGTTTCTGATTATAATGAGTCTACTCTTTTTTTCCTTAGTCAGCCTACCTAAAAGCTTCTCAATTTTTTTTAAACATTCTTAAAAACAAGCTCTTGGTCAGGTGTCATGGTGCAGTATGTGATCCCAGCACTCCAGAAGCTGAGGCAGAAGAATCGCCAGGAGTTTGAGGCCAGCCTGGGATGCATAGTGAGCCCAAAGCCAGCCTGAACCACATAGTGCAACTGTCTCAAAAATTAATAATAATAATAATAATTCTTCACTTTGTTTTTCTGATTTTTTTTGATGTTAATTTCTAATTGCTATGATTTTTTTTTTCTTTTTTCTGTTTGAGGTTCCTTTTTTTGTGTGTATGTAGTTTCCTAATGTATAAACTTAGGCTGTTGACTTGGGATCTTCCTTTTTATTGTAAAGTTTACAGCTATAAATTTCCTGATATCACTGCTTCTGCTGCACCTCATTATTTAAGTATATTGTTTTTATTTACATTTGACTGAAGACATTCTCTGATTTCCTTTTTGATTTATTCTTCAGCTTACTTGTTGTCTAAGATTGTTACTTTATTTTCACATATTTGTGAATTTTCTAAGGTTTTTTTTTTCCAGGATGGCTTTTTTCATTACATTCTGATCAGAAAACCTAGTCTATATGAAATCTGTATGATTTTAGTCCTTTTAAATTCATTAGGACTTGTTTTATGGCCTAATATGTGGTCCAGTGTAGAGCATGTTCCACAGGCACTCCAGATAAGTGTATATTTTGCTATTTTTAGGAAAGTCTGTATATCTGTTAGGGCCCATAGGCTTATAGTACTCTTTACATCCTCTATTTCCTCATTGATCTTCTACCTGGTTGTTCTATCCATTATTGATAATGGGATGTTGAAATCTTTTACTATACTTATGTTGCTATATCTTCCTTCAGTTCTATCAATTTCATGTTCATATGCAGTGGAACCTTGATTTACACACAATTCATTGTAACAGCAAGGGCTGTTTGAACTCAAGTTGGTTGAGACTATTTTTTCCTTACAAGAAATAATAGAAATACCCATAATGTATTCCAAGCCACCCAAAGCACCCCTTAACTAACCTTTTCATAATAAAGAGTTGTATAATGTGTATAATTTATCAGAAACACCAACAATTTTGTTAATGTATTCATCAAAAAATTATAAAATATGTTTAGTTTATCAGAAACAATAATCTCATATGGTACTCGCCATTCCAGTTGACATCTTTGAGTTGTAGAAAAGGAGGAAGAAAAGGAAAGTGGTTATTGCTTGGAAAGAGAATCCCCTTCTCTAAGAATATCAGGAATCTGGCCCTCTCAAATCTGGCCTTCTCAAACAAGTCGTAATGTACATTAGACAGTTGGGAGACTGTCTAACCCACTAGGACCTCCTTTTGGCTTAGTAGCTCTCACCTTTTTAAGAACTAAAAACTTGTCTAAGGTTTTCTGTTTCTTCCTTCAACACTGTTCTATCAGATCACATGACATTTTCCTTAAGCAAGTGAATGCAGTGATTGGCTTTTTCTCTGTCCATGTGGGCCTTCTCTACAAATGTTTGTAGCTCTGTCCAGTTTTTCAGGATTACCTACCAGCCTCTGAACCCTGCTGTAATGAGAATGTCATCAACTGCAGGGTCATTGGAAGGCTCAGGCTCTTCTACACAGCCTTTACAGGCTCTCTCCTATATAATTTTAGGCCACACTTTCTTCCAGCCAGATCTGTGTCCTTAGAGGGAATTCGAAACAATAGCTACCCCTCCTACTCTTGCTAGAATGGTCCCTTAAAGAAAAGCCTCACTAATTAACTCAGTGTGAAAGGTTTGTCTTAAATATTTTTTGGACACATTTTTTCTGGTCTTATATGTGTGTGTACTGGTACATTTTCCCCACTCACCCCTCTCCTTCCCCATATACAGGACTATATTCAGATACCTTACTTTCCCCAGGAGCCTCACCCCTGCATCTTTTTCATGTGTCTGTAGTTGCCTTGTTTCATTCATGTCCCACAGTGCCCATGACCTCTTTGAGCAGCCTCCAACATAAACAAATTATCCATTTCCTTGAGAGCTCAAAAGCAGAACAGAAGCCAGTTTTTAGGAAGCAGCTATGCATTTTTATAATATTGCAAACAAGTTTTGCTCTTTTCTCTGTGCTCTGAGCAAGGAACCAGGTATCACACAGCTTTTTCTTTGCCATGCCACACCAAATAAGTGTGAGCAAAGCACCATGACATTTCCAACTATTTTAAATGGGTCTTGTGTCGTGGACATTTGTTTGGGTATACTAAACCTTTGGCTAGTTTCCAGGTCTTCCATGAAGTTATTTCAATCTGTCTATTGTTTCCTTAGTACTTTAAGGGGAAATGAGTGTCTTCCCATGAAAATCACTACTAGTAAACTTCTGCAAACAGACAAATTTATTTTTACAGTAAATAATGATATTGGCTTTTAAGTAGTTCAACAATAACTTCAGAGATGGTGCCATTGCTGTGGGAGCAAGTAGTTGGCAATGCAGAATTGGATGGGAACATCCAATTCTTATTAAAATTAGCAAAAAGTAGGACCAGAAACGTACATGGGAGATGAATGTTTATAACAAATTTGACATTATAAAGTGAAATTCTCTAGACCTGATAAAAGAATATTGGAAAAAATAAAGGTTTGTAGTTACCTTGTTCAGACAATCTATGAAATGCATAGTTTGAGTAGATAGAGGGTAACCAAATATAATCTTTAAGGTTAATAGATCCAATCACATTTTCTCTAATATTTGGATGTGCCCCATTTTTTATAAATTGGTGTTCAGAACTTGCTCACCATTGTCTGAGAAATGTTCAGTTGTAAAGAAAGATTTATATCCCAAGTAGAACAACAGTTTTTTCTCACATTCAGTGGTTTTAATCTAAGGAAGTGTCCAGCCTAATTCTTCTCTTTTGTTTTATGGGAGCAGTTTGCTTATTACTCTGCAGTACCATAGAGACCTGGTTTCTGTAGCTTCATGCTTTATACTGTAGACCTGATACCTGTTCTTCAAAATTGTCTTGACTCTTTGTATGCTTGTTGTTTCATTTTAATTATGGTGTCACTGGTATTTTACTTAGAATTGTTTATTTGTTTACTTATACTGGAGTCAAACTCAGGACTTTATGCTTGCTAGGCAAACAATGTGCCACTGAGCTAAGTCCCTGCCCTAGAATTGTTTTTAAAGTATAGATTAATTTAGGGCCACATGAAAATGGTTTATCATTTATTTTGTTGTTGATATCAGGAATTGAACTCATGACTTCTTGCTTTCCAGGCAGGCACTATGTCACTGAATATGAAATTATTTTCATGTTAAATTTTCCTGTACACAGCTGTCTTTTTATCTTTAGTATACTTTAATATTTCAGATGATATTTTGTAATTTTTCTCTAGGAAGGTCATAACTCTTGGAATTTTTTCCATAGGTTACATTATATTTTTCCTACTGTTATGAAGCCTATACTATATAAAATTACATTTTCTCACTTGCTTTGTAGAGTTTAGAAGCAGTTGATTTTCAAGAATTGATCATAAATCTTTGTAAATTTCCTACCGGTTATATGTAAAATATATTAGTTTTAAGTGTATATCCTTTATGAAGATTGAAATTCCCTTCTTGTTTTAAGTGTGTTTTTGTTGTTGGCTTTAGTTGTTTGACTTAAAGTTAAATAGTTTATTGACAAAAAATTTTTTGATGACCACTGACATGACTTTATGGTTTTTCTTACCTTTGTGCTGGAGAAATTTTCTATTGTCTGTGCTTGAAATCACCAGAATAAATACAATATGATTATGGTGTATTCTTCTGTTTTGTTGCACTTCTTGATGGATAGTTTACTGAGGATATTTGTAGTTATGTTTTATATGTGAGATTAACCTTTAAGTTTTACTTTTTGTAATATTCATGTTTGGTGTTTTTTTTTTTTTTTATGGCAGAACCAGGGATTGAACTCAGGCCCTTGCGCTTGCCAGGGAAGTGCTTATTCCACTGAGCCATCTCCCTGGCCCCTCATGTTTGGTTTTGATAATCACTTAAGTTACCTTCATAAAATGAACTGAGGGTTGTGCTCTCTTCATTAATTTTATTGAAGAATTTGAATAAGTCATTAGGGAGGGAGAAAAAGAACATGTAGACATATAATTCTGATTTGATTTATTGAGCAGCTTTTTAGGTTTTTATTCTTACAAAGATTAGCAATTTTATTAAATATTATTTATGTACAGTAAAATTCACCCTCATATACTTTAGCAATTTTTGGTTTATTCACAGAGCCAAATTTTTTAATAAGCTATTTGTCTTTACTATCAAATTTTAAGAGTTCTTTAGTATATATAGTCCCTCATCAGCTATGTGATTTGTATATTCTCCCTCTGGGTGAATTATCTTTTCACATTCCTGATGAAATTTTTGGAACACAAAAGCTTTTCATATTTATAGAAGTTATTTTTTTCTTTTGTCACTTATGCTTGTGATACTAAGAATATCTAAGACAACTTTTACCTAATCAAGTTCAGAAATGATAATTCCTATTTTTTTCTGAGAAGTAAGTTTTAGCTCTCACATTTAGGTTTTGATACATTTTAAGTTGTGATACAAGAGTTGAACTAAATTCTTCTACGTATTCATTTGTCCCAATATTTAAGATACTGTTTCCTCCACTGAATGCCTTAGAATTCTTATCAAAATAAGTTGTCTGTAAATGTTAAAGTTTATTTTTGGACCCTTAATAGATCCTTAATGCCTATTTTACTTTTTTATGTATTCTATAAAGATTGCCCACTATTTTTTTCTATGGAAATTTTGACTGTCCTAAGTCTCTTGTATCCCACATGAATTTTATTGTTGGTTTGTTTTGGGTTGGGTTGGGTTGGGTTGGGTTGGGTTAGGTTGGGTTTTTGAGACTGAGCCTTGCTAGGTTGCTGAGTCCCACCTTGAACTCACTATTTATAGTCCAGGCTGGTCTTAAACTCAGAGCAGTCCTTCTTCCTCAGTCTCCTGAGTGCCAGAATTTTAGATAAGCACCACCACATCCAGCTATACATGACTTTTAAGAACAGGTTTTCAATTTCTGGGGGTAAAAGACAACTGGACTTTTAATAATTGCTTTGACTCTATAGATAAATTTAGAAATGTTGCCATACTAGCATAACCAACCCTTCTAACCCATGTACATGAGATTTCTTATCCTTTGTTTAGACTTACTAGAGCTTCTTTAATTTCAACATTGTTTTAAGTTATATCATTTACTTCTTTGATAAATGTATTTGTAACAATTATATTCCTTTAAATCATATTATAAATCAAATTATTTTATTCATTTCATCTTTGAATTGTTACCTTTATCTGGATTTAGACCTTGTATCCTACAACCTTTCTGAACACGTCTATTAACTCTAATATGGAATTTGTGTGTGTGTGTGTGTGTGTGTGTGTGTGTGTGTGTGTTCCTTACATACAAGATGGTGTCAACTTGAGTAGAAATAGCTTTCTGTTTTCTTTTTATTCTGGGCATAGTAATCATTATAACACTGACTTTTATTATTATATCTTAATAGTAGGTCCCAGTAAATATTGGGATAAGTCTTTTCTCCTTGCTTTTTTTCCTCAAAAATTCTTTGACTATGATGGATTATATTTCCATATGACATTTATGCCTATCATTTTTTTGCTTTTTTAAAAAAATTAATCATCTTTCTGTTACTAAATATTAGTTTGTTTTTTTTTTTTTGTTTTTTTTTTTTTTGTTTTGTTTTTTTTGTACCAGCGATTGAACTCAGGATCCTGTGCTTACCAGGCAGATGGTTAAGTCACTGAGCTGTCTCTCTGGCCCATCCATATAACTTTCAAAAGCATCTCATTAACTTTCATTAAAATTCCTATTGTGCCTATAAAATTGGAATGTATTGAATCTGTATATTACTATGGAGACAATTTGCCTATTTATGACATTTGGTCTTTCTACCTATGTACATGACATATTTCTTCATGAAATTAGATCATTTTGTAATGGAATATCTTCTTTAATGATGCTTCTTGGGCTTTATTTTAATAGGTAATATATAGAAATAAAACTTTGTTAGTCGTGTATCTAGCCTATTTGCTAAATAATCTCATAATTTACAGAATATTTTGTTACCTATATAGGCATGTCATCTACAGTAATAAGTTACATTTCCATAAACAAGGATATCAAACAGGAAAGCTATATGGATATACAGGAAGAATACACCAGTGAGAAAGAAACAGCAAGTGTAAACTCTTAAAGTAGGAAAGAAATTCAAAGAATATCAAGGGCTTCAGAGTTCCTGGAGTGGTTTGCGCAAACAGGAAAGTGGAAAGTGATGAAATCAAAGATATTGAACTAGATAATGTCCAACCTTGCAGATTACTCCAGAGCTTAAGTTTTCCTCCAACCTGGACATCTGTGGCAGGTCCTATCATTCTTTAACCAAAGAAGTGACATGATCTAATTCAGGTTTTTCAAGGATTCCTTGTGCTGAGAATAGACTGTAAAAGTCCAAAACTAAACCAAGAAGACACAAGAGTTGTCCTTGCAGTACTATAATTTGGATGAAGTATTAATGGTTCCAACCAGGGAAGGGTTAGGGAATGGTGCTAAAAATGACTGTAATTTGTACATATTTTGAAGACAGAACTGACAAGATTTGCTAGTAGACTGGATATTGCTTAGAAGAAAAAAAAAAGACTGATTCCAATTCTTTTGATTTAAGTAAATGGGATTAGACTTTTCATTAATAATGTTTTTGAAGTTGAATACCAGTCTCATATAATGCATGTTTTGAAATTTATATGAGTCTTAGTGCTTAGAAATGATTGCATTTCTCCCAAGAACTCAATTTTATTTTCCTTTGTATCTAATGGAGACAGCAGGGTATATGACTGCACTGACTGCTTGGAAATTTAGAGCTATACTTGTATCCTTGTTACAAGGACATAGATATAACATATGTGTATTTTTAGTGACCTCATTTGGGGTTTTTGCTTCATTTTTGTTTTCATTGTATGACATAAAAATGAGTGAGAAGTATAGCAGTAATCTCTAAAAAATAAATACATGTGTGTAAATAAGTGCACACACATATTTTCAAGATGAGTTCCTACAACTCTGGGTCATCCATTCAACTCTATTCAGTGAATATCTACTTTATGCCAAGTGCTGTTTTGAACCCTTGATACATCAACTCTACCATTAGGGACCATGCATTCTAGTAGTGCAGACACTAACAATACCAGCACATGTAATCAGTTAGTGATTAAGACAGCATATTAAAAGATATAAAGATATTAAAAGATAAAAGTCAAGCATGATAGGGGAAACTACAGGTGAGGGAAGTGTGGGGGCTACAGCATTAGATAGAGGTGTCTCAGTGGACCAGATTGAGAAAATGGCATTGGTGGAGGGACTTTAAGGAGGTGAGGGTATGAGTTATGTGGCTGAGGGGAGGGTCTTCCATCAGAAAGAAGAGCAAGTAATGGTCCTCAGGGAGGAGTGTGTGTGTTAGGCTTAGAGAACAGGGTGAGTCTGGATTAGCTCTGAATGAATGAGAATGGTGAGTCCTGAGGTCAGGGAAGTATTGGGGTTGGGCAGCGCATTGCGTGAACAGTGGTGACAAAACTGTGGCACATGTGCCACTACAGGCTACTTGTATCATTGAAGGCTCTAAAGGGTTTGCCATCGCCGGCATATCTGTAGACTGCCGCCTTTCCTGTGTGACAGCACCGCGTCGGCGTCAAGCATGAAAAGTGGCACAATTTCACTGGCATTTTAAAGGCATTACTGTATCCACTGAGCATAGCTTTCAAAGGAGTTATAACTATTTCTGCAATTCCAGGTACATCACAGCTAACACTGACACAGAAGAGCCGAGTGTTTCAGTGCCTGCAGCGTTCAGCACACGTATAGAGGAACTAAAGTTAGCCGTCCTCCTTCAGAAGGTTGACCATTTACGCATGACTGAGTCCGGCAAGATGGAGAGTTTCGAACTACTGTGTGACCACAAAGAAAAGGTAAGGACTGTGCGACAGTAGCACATTTATGTAGTTTTTATTTTTTATATAATCGCCTGTCCCGTTTACATTATGACCATACTATTAGCACCATGTTCCCATAACCTAAGTACCTGATAGGAAATTTTTCTGTTACATAGCTAAAACTTTTAAAGAGTAAATATGAGTTAATTAGACTCACTGAAGACAATAAAAATAGGAACCAGAATTATAAATTTGTGGGTTTACGTTTTTATTTTAAAGAGAAAAAAAATGATACAGACTTTCAAAACAAGATGATAGGAAATTAACAGTGGTTGTTTTATTTTGTTACCTTCAAAATAGTTGCTTAATTTATCAGATACAAGTATGCAAAATTGATCAGTTATACATTAATTGTTCCTTTCAATAAACTAATGGAAATTAGTAGTGTAATTATTTAAGCTGTCTCGTGTGTGTGTGTGTGTGTGTGTGTGTGTGTGTGTGTGTGTGTTTCCCTTCTTTTTTTCCTTTCTTCCACCCTGGTTGTTTTCCTTTTAAAAAAAAAACAAAAAAAAACATAAAAGGGAGCTGGGGAGCTGGCTCAGTGGAATAAGCACTTCCCGGGCAAGTGCAAGGGCCTGAGTTCAATCCCTGGTTCTGCCAAAATAAATAAATAAAATAAAATAAACATAAAAATAACAGTGAAACTGAGGTTATTAGGATAGTTACAACAGTTGATCCATTGTGATTGTTGTCTTCCTAGTAGTTATTCGGAGTGAAGGTATGCTATCTTGTCTATAAAATATTAGCCCAAACTTTATTTTTTTAATGAACTAAGAGAAACTAGCTGTACAACAATCTTTGCTGTCTTATATAATACATACATTTTTACAGGTTTACTTTTATCTAATTTTTATTATTTTGTATATGTAAGTCTTTTTAAAATAACAGATAAAGAATAAGACATTAGGCTATCACATATGGTACATCTTCTCTGGGGGGACAAAATTTTTTTAAATGAATTTAGGACAGGGTCAACAGGGTCTCACTACATAGGTTGGACTCATAATAATTCTCCTGTTGTCAGCCTCCCAAGTGCCGAGATTACGGGCACATGCCACCGCACCCAGTCTCAATCACCTCCTCAGCGTGCCCCTAGGTCAGGCCCATAATGCCAGGGGTTGAACCCCCGCCACTGCGCTCTGCTGAAACAGGCACTTTAGTCTGCTGAGCTATCTGGTTGGCCCTTAGGGAGCAATTTTTAAAGTTTCTATATTATTGTAAGTATAATAGCTATAAGTATATGAGCTATTTCTAGCAGTCTTCATTTTGTAGTATTTAATGTTGGACTTGAATTGAAAAGCCCTTTCCACTAACTACCAGCATAAAAAAGGAGGTGTAGGATGTACAATATCCCAAGAAGAAATAAAACTCTTGCTTTCCTAGTTACAGTTTAAATTAATGTTTATTTGAGAACTTAGCCACATCAAATACATTGTCTATATCCTAAGTATCCTGAGCTGATCAATATATACCACACAAATGTCCCAAAGCATCAAATGGTACCCAGTAGATTATAAATTATTGCCTTTTAAAAGCATCGTGGAAGACTACTATAGTTTGAATAGGTTAACGACTTAATCTAATGTGTAATTCTATCTTTTTTAGTTTAGGGATGAAATAGAATTTGTGTGGCGGTTTGCTCGGGCTTATGGAGACATGTTTGAGCTGTCTACAGACACACAGGAGAAGAAACAGTATGCTAACATTGGTAAGTATTTTCTCCAGGTAGATTATTCTCAAGTGGCAATTCCAGTAAACTGTTGCTGAAGTTTTAGGTTGAAAGACCAGCTCAGGGAGTCTCCATAGATCAGATTATCCTGAAATACCAGTCAGAGAGACAAGATGAATAGTGATAAAGGACAGGAAAAGAGCTTTAACCAGTATTCCTATAGTAGGAAGGACATATAACCAGGTTCAAAACCTGTCTTTGAGGGACTAACATACTGGAGGTTTTATAGAAAATGTAAACAAAAGCAAGGGTTGGGGGTTTGCATAGCTCAGGGATTTGCACTGCTGGTAGGGTAGATGTCTTAGTTACAATACATTCTCATTGTGGGGACAAAATGTCTGACACTCAAAAGTTACAGGAAGATAAGTGTTTTGTAGCTCCCAGTTTGTTGATGTTTAAATCCATAATTGGCTGGATCCAAGACAGGGCAGAATGGCAGAGAAGGAATAGTTCATGACATGACAAGCAGGAGGTAGCAAAACAGTAAGCCTTCCTTTCCCTTCTTATTCCACTAAGGCTATAAGCCTGTTGGTTGGTGCCTTGCACACCCAGGGTGGGTCTTCCTGTTGTTCACAACCCCAGTTATGCTAAACTAAACAGTGGACTGATCCAGTTATCATGCACTGGAAAACTCATATCACATAACCATGGTGCAGCCACCTCCCAAAAGCCCCAACTGTGAGCTCATGAGGCTTTGGATATCTAGATATAAACCATAACAGTGGGAAGTCCTGATCAGACCATCAGGCTGTGTAGAGACAGCTAGATATTAGCTGTAACAGTGCGAAATCCTGGGCAGGCCACAGTCTGGTTGAGCATTGACTCAGACCTGGTTCTGTGAGCTGGCTCTGGAGAAGTCCTTCTGACTTGAGGAGGGAACAGCCCAGCTCTCATGAAATTTTGGGGCCAGCTTCAGTTCTGTCATGGGGTGATTTGTTCATGAGGCTTTACTTTTTCTGGAATCCTAGGTTTCCAGGATATTCTATGAACATTTAGAATATATTGACTGAGACTTAGGTGATATTCCAGAGATTCTCTGAAACAGGATATTGTAAAAGTTGACAACTAAATATCCCTCCAAATCTTGAAAATATTCTTAACTAGTGTTGTAGTGTTGAATAAAGATGAGATATGTAAGACAAAAGTAAGGCTAATAAACCTGTATTAGCAGTTTTAGTTAGATACTCCTTAAGTGATGACCTTTGTGAGTACAGAGCTGAGCAGAGATCAAGTTTTAAGATACTGAGGGAGAGAGATACAACAACGAAGGTAGAACTGCCAAGCTCTGTCCTCATGTTAGCTTCCTATTGGACATGTGAAGACCTAGACTACAACCCTGTAAGCCTAAATTCCCCACTGTCTAGTCATTTCCCTGATCTGGAAGGAATTAGGATGCTGGCCAGCCTGCTGGCTTTGCAGGTTTTCTGGTCAGCTGGTGAGCTATTCCAAGAGAAGGAAGCAAAATGAGAACTGAGTTCCTGAAATGCCTGGTAACCTCTAGAGTTTTATTTAAAAGAACCACTGTTCTTTGTGTGACATTTATCTATGTGTGACATTTCTTTTGCCCCTGTAGTAGCACATTTGCCTTTGGTTATACTTCTCTCCTGAGTGTTTAAGACCTAATAACAGTCAGGCCTTACATGGAGAAAAAAATTAACTTTTTCTTTCTACTATTAGGATCAATCAGTGCTCTGCATGGATTACTTCTGTTACCTTGTTAGTAGGTTCTTGGCTTTTATAGTTTTTTTTCCCCACTACACATAGTGTCATCACCAGGCTAAATTGGGGTCATGCTGACCAGGTGATTTTCCTTGGAAGCATTGGGGATATGCCCCTTTCCAGTTACCCTCTTCTTTGTAGAATATGAACTGCTTAGCTCCTATTCTCTGGGGTCTTCACATTTCCCAAGATTGGGAGATTAGGTGACTCATGAGAGGTGCAAAGACCTTTTTTAGGGACCCTGTTATCCCTGGGTCCTGGCTAAGCTTGGTGAGTTAGGGCCAAAATTTGCATATCCTCTTACTCTTTATCCTCCTTGCTTTTAGCCTCCACATCTTGGCTATTGCAGATCAAAAGTGCCAATTTTTCCAATCCTAAAGTGAGACTAGTGAGTTTTAATTTTCTCTGTGGTTAAAGTTATTTAAGGACTTTTAGAGCAGTTTACTTTTGAAATAAGTTTTCCCCATTGCTGTTTTTAGAACAGAATTTGTTAGAGGATTGTCCTTTGGCTAAAGCAAGAGTCCATGCTACACAATAAGGTTGGGTTAGAATGTGTTGCTTTTAAGGAGTCCTTCTCCAAGCAGCACCAATAGAATGGATGTTCCCTTTTTATGTGTATTGGAAAGCTACAAACACCAAAGGGCATAAAGTAGCTCAAGGTGTATGGTGACCGCTCCCTTATGTGCACCTCCCAGGTGTGCTGAGTTCTTCCTAACCTAGCAGCAGGGTGTTTTTCAGAGGTGCTTCCCAATGATGCATCGTAAGATGATTATCCTGATCCCTACATTAGCACTGTAGTTATTTAGGGTCACCTAGAGGGAGCATCCATCTGTTCTCTTCAGTTCTGGAGACCTTCATTTTCTAAGTTTCCAATAGTCCCATTGCTGCCAGATATCAGATTTATCTTTAGTCTATACCAATTCTATTAGCATCAACAAACAACCCACATAAAGCAATTATATTAAATCAACAATATCAGAAACACAGATTAACAGTAAAGCTATAAGAACACATAAAGAAATTATATTAAGTCAGAGTGTACTTTCAGGTCCCTAGGCTGTGGTATATTATAGTAATAATTCATCCTTTTATCTTAGTCAAAAGTTTATAACTTAACTATAGTCAGCCAGAACTCTCCCTAGGTTTCCCTGATAGTACAGACGTAATATTTCCTATTGTTACACAAACTACAGTAGGGAGCTCTCAAATACCCTGACTCCTTAACATACCTTGTGATTCTTCTTATCATATTTTCTTCTATAGTTACTGAAGAATTTCCAAGTTTCTTTGTCAAAAACAAATGGCCTCATTCCAGAATAGACCCATAGAGCCCAAACCACAAAGAAACAAGAAAGAGCAAGGTCAAATGTGCACTATCAGAAATGACTTACCAGGGGTGTTAACCAAACAGTTTAGAAAGCAGTCACTAGTGGTCTGGTTTCAGCAGAGATCTGTTCAAACTTTCCTCTTTAACTAGGGTTGACTAGGGTGGGTGACTACCGTAACACCCAAGGGATGGGCTTTCCCTTAGCTGGCTCATCAAATGTGTTACTGGTATCTTATAGAAAATGCTCCTGCTCTGTAGGTCCCAATAACCAGGTTTGAGCTGATTGATCCCAAACCATCAATCAAGATGAAATGAACAATGGTAAAAAAAAAACAGGAAAAGGGGCTGGAGAGATGGCTCAGTGGTCTAAAGCACCTATTTAGAACAAGCTTAGCAAAGCATCAGGGACCGCGGTTCGATCCCCCAGCACCACATGCCAGCCAGCCCCGCCCCCTGGTGGGCTGAGCTGGCCACACACACACACCACTCTCTCTCTCTCTCTCTCTCTCTCTCTCTCTCTCTCATAAATAAATAAATAAATAAATAAAATTTAAAAAAAAAAAGAGTTAAAAAAAAAACAGGAAAAGAATTGTAATCAGCATGACCATACAAAAAGGTCAAGAAAGAGATTCAAGATGATCTTTGAGGTACTGTCAGAAACTTTGAAGCTTCATAGAGATAAAGGCAGGGGTTGGAGGGTTTGCCTAGTTAAAGATTCACGTAGCTGACAAGGGAGGTAATCCTGCTCAAGCCATCTTCTGGTTGATCATTATCTCAGCACTGGTTCTTTGATTGTCGCTCTGAAGAAATTTTTATGGCTTGAGGGGACAATCTTGTTCCCATGACTAGATTGTTCTCGTTTAGGAGACCAACCTTATTTCTGTCGTGGAGTGATCTGTCTGTGAGGCTGTGCTTTTCCAGGAAGGCTAGATGACTAAACATTTAGGACAATGAGTGGAAACTTCTAGACATCACTAGGAGAGGTCTTCAACAGGACACTGTAAAAGTTGGCAGTTGAATGTCCCTGAAAATCTTGTCTTGTTATTTTGAGACAAGGTCTTGCTGTAGTTCAGGCTGGCCTTGAACTCACTGTGTAGCCTAGGCTGGCTTCAAACTCACAGTGATCCTCCTACCTCAGCTTCCTGAATACTGGACTACAGGTATATTGCAAATCTTGAAAATGCATTAGTTAGGACCAGCCAAATAGCTCAGCAGATTAAATCATCTGCTTAGGTGGACACAGTGGCTCGGGTTCCATCCCCAGTGTGCCTTGCCAGCCCCACCTCAGGGGGCACACTGAGCCAGGGATTGAGATTGGATGTGGTGGCGCACATCTGTAATCCCAGCTCTTGGGAGGCTGAACACAGGCGGATCACTACAAGTCCGATCTATGTAGTGAGACCCTGTAGACCCTGTAGACCCTTACTAAAATACAAAAAGAAAGAAAGAAAATATATTAGTTACTATTATCTTGGTGTCTCCGTCTAGAAGGAGGCTGCAATAGGTAAATTAAAAGCTAACAGACCTTGAATAACAAGTTTTTAGACAGATGCTCCTTAACTAATTAAGATTCGTAGGTACAGAGCTGATCAAGGATATGACCCAATGTTTTAAGGTGATAAAGGAGACAGATATAACATTGAAGCTTTATCCTGATTTTAGCTACCCATCAGTCATGTTGAGACCCAGCTTCTCAGGCCTGTTTAAAATCATTCGTAAGGGCCGGCAAAATAGCTTAGTGGTCTAAAGTGCTGCTTAGGCAAGCTTAGGCAAGTGTGCAGGAACCGCGGTTCAATCCCCAACACCACACGCCACACCAGCCCTTACCCCAAGGATGGGGTGAGCTGGCCAAAAAATAAATAAATAAATAAAATCATTTATAAATTTTAGCTAAACTTAAATTATCTTAGCTAAAACCAGTATGTTTAATCTA